CTATCGATAATATTTGGAAATAGTTCGGGATTTTTTTAAAATTCATTATACTTTGCTATTTGGTCATAGATGTCTTTGATTTGGAGATGACTCAGTTTGATTCTATTACTATTCTAAATGATTACTATGAAACACAAATTATTACTGACACTATCAGGAGTTACATTTTTAAGTATCTTGTACTGTTGTAGATAAATTCATTTACTGGCTATGCTGATTGAAAAAGAGAATGTGATTTGAAAGTTATTTTCACTTAAAATAGTGAAGTTGGCTTGTTTCCCCACCTCAAACCATAAGTAAAGTCAAAGTAGAAGGTTTAAGTAGATCATGGCAATCTATTTGAAGAATACTCTTTTCAAAATTTTTGTAAACACCCTTGTAAAGTATATTTTCAGTTCTTTTTGGAGCTTTCCTCTGGATTATTACCATTACTCCAGAAGCGTCCTTCGGTATCAGAAATACATTCAAAACTCAACATTAGATCTTCTTTCTGTCTTCAGTGTTTCACAGCTGGCAAAGACCCAACTGGCACATCTGCCCCCTTGAAGATTCTCTGAGACTAATTCCCACTTTTGAGAACCCTTTCATTGCATCCTGCTCTTCACACTGAATTCATGATCTCATCTTTCAAAAAAGTTTCCTTTTATACTTCACTTACAGTTTGCTCATATATAATATGCGTACCCTCTGAGGCATCAAATTCACTCCTAGGAATAAGCCCAACAGAAATGCATACACATGTTCACAGGAAGACATGTTCTAGAATGTTCATAGCAGTACAGTTAATAGTGGTTTGACAAGGAAAAATACCCCAAACTCACCAACAATAGAATGAATTAATAAACCATAATACGGTCACACAATAGAATACTCTGCATCAATTAGAATGAACAGTCTTCAGCCACATTCAACAGTGTGGATGCATCTCACGTCACACTGTAGAGTGAAAGAAGGCTAGCGCGTGTGGGCATGTACTGTATTCCATTTACATAAAATTTTTTTCAAGTAGAACAATTCTAGATTGTGGGAAATCGGGGTAATTGAAGAGGTAGTGATTGGAAGTCAACACAAAAGAAGGTCCTGGAGTATGGTTTCATGGGTGTGTTTGGTAAACTTTATACTTTCGAAAGATGCACTTTTTTGTGTGGAGACTACAGTAAGTTTAAAATAGGGGACGTATATCTTTGACAAAAATATAGGAGATAAAATATAGAAAAAGATGCCCCAAATCTACTTTTCACCCAGATTTTACTTGTTCTTCCTGTGTCTTACAACAGAGTTTCCTAATTTCAGTCCTAAACACACACACACAAACACACACACACACACACACACACAAATGAGTACAAGTAAAACTGGTGAAATTTGAATAGACTCAATGGATTGTATCAATCTTAGTATCTGGGTTGAAATTACACTATAGTGACCATTGTAGGAAACTGGGGAAAGTATACAAAGGACTTGTTTATATTATTTCTTGCAATTGTACGTGAATCTACAGTTACCTTGATCGGAAATTTTTCAGTTGAAAGAGGGTGTGCTGAATAAACACAAGAAATATATCAATTTTGAAAAATTAGACACTAATCTAAGTGAACTGTATCATAATGTCTGGGGTTGCCAAAAACCTGTACTTTAAAGATGTGTTCCAGGTAATTTATAAAGCAAGGCTAGGAAATACTATGCAGTAAATTTGAAATATAGTCAGTTTACAGTGTGTCAGTTTCTAGTATACAGCACAATGCTTCCAATAAAAGAATGACCAAATCTGCTAAAAGAAAAAAAACAGGAATATATGTATAGGAACATACATATATTCATTTTCATATTCTTTTTCACCATAAGTTACTACAAAATATTCAGTATAGTTCCCTGTGCTATACAGTATGAACTTGTTTATTTTATATATATTAGTATCTGTAAATCTCGACCTCCCAATTTATCCCTTTCCACCCCCTTCTCCCTTTGGTAACCATAAGTTTGTTTTCTATGTCTGTGAGTCTGTTTCTTTTTTATAAATAAGTTCATCTTTTTTTTTTTAGTATTCCACATATAAGTGATATAATACGGTATTTTTTTCTCTTTCTGGCTTACTTTACTTAGAATGACATTCTCCAGGTCTATCCATGTTGCTGCAAATGGCATTATTTTACTTTTTTTAAGGCTGAATAATATTCCTTTGTATAAATATACTACAAATTCTTTATCCTGTCATCTGTTGATAGGCATAACAGGTTGTGTCCATGTCTTGGCTAGTGTAAATAGTGCTGCTGTG